TTGCAAATGGCAAGATTTCATTCCTTTTGATTGCCAAGTAATACTCCATTGTATATATACACCACATCTTCTTTATCCATTCATCCATCGGTGGACATTTAGGCTCTTTCCATACTTTAGCTATTGTTGATAGTGATGCTATAAACCATGGGGTGTATGTGCCCCTTCGAAACAGCACACCTGCATCCCGTGGATAAATGCCTAGTAGGGCAATTGCTGTGGGTCGTAGGGTTGTTCTATTTTTATTTTTTTGAGGAACCTCCATACTGTTTTCCAGAGTGGCTGCACCCGTTTGCATTCCCACCCCAGCAGAGCAAAAGAGATCCTCTTTCTCTGCATCCTCGCCAACATCTGTCGTTGCCTGAGTTGTTAATGTTAGCCATTCTGACAGGTGTGAGGTGGTATCTCATGGTGGTTTTGCTTTGTATTTCCCTGATGATGAGTGATGTTGAGCATTTTTTCATGTGTCGGTTGGCCATCTGGATGTCTTCCTTGGAGAAGTGTCTATTCATGTCTTTTGCCCATTTCTTCACTGGATTACTTGGTTTTTGGGTGTTGAGTTTGATAAGTTCTTTGTAGATTTTGGATACTAACCCTTTATCTGATATGTCATTTCCAAATATCTTCTCCCATTCTGTCGGTTGCCTTTCAGTTTTGCTGACTGTTTCCTTCACTGTGCAGAGGCTTTTTATTTTCATGAGGTCCCAGTAGTTCAGTAGTTCATGGCAATCCAGACTTTTAATGTGAACCTTATTGTTAAAGCTTCAGTCAGGTACAAATGACATGCAGTTTCCATCATTAAATTATGCAGTTTGATGTTATGACATTCATGTAACCCATGAAGCCATCGATCATGACCATAAACCTTCCCACACCCCCATATTTATTTGTGTTCCCTGACAATCCATCCTCGAGGCAGCCATTGACTTGTCATTATAATAGATGAGTTTGCATTTTCGAGAATTTGTATGATTGAAGTCTTAAAGTCTTTAGTCCATTTCCTCAGGTGTCCTCATGTGGCACTTATTTTGGAATTCATCAGTGGTGCCTGTACGAGCAGTTCATTTTTATATCGCTGAGAAGTGTGTCCTGTCGAAACGACGCTATTTACTTATTTATTCCTGTTAATGGATATTTGTTTCCAGGTTCAGCTGCTGCAAGTAAAAATGCTGCAGAAATTGGATTCAGTTCTTCGTACTGACAGGGTCCTCTCTGTTGTGTTAATCCTGGAGTCAGCGTGTGGGTGAATGTAGGGCCTCTAAGGGACCCCAGATTGTCATCTAAAATGATCCTTCCTCTTGTATTCCCACTAGCAGTGTATGAGAGTTCCATTTCTCTGGTATCTCTGCTAGGAGTGGGTACGGTTAGTCTTTTTAAATGTGACCCAGTTGGTACATGCGTAGCAGTATCTCACCGTGGTATAGGTGCGTTTCCCTCATGTTGCATGATGTTGAGCAAAGCTCTCGGGCTCAAAATACGAGATACGGGAGGAGGCTGGTCATGGAGTCAAGAAGCCGCATCTACACTGTAGCAAATTCAAATAGACAAAAGGCCGAGCACTTTATCAAGTGAACAATAAAAGCTAACAAGTGGTCGGTGGTACATATGGTTAGAAGCCTTGCAGATTTACCTAATACTTGCCTAAGGCTAAATTTTCCATCCTGATTGGAACCAATCTGCAGTAAATAAGGAGAACAACTGACAAACCCCAGCACTTAAAATGATATATCATAGGTTCAAATATTTTGATTTGATTCAAATCAAATTAGGTTCAAGTACATTTGATTGTGTGTAATAAAGTTTTTGGAGTCATACAAGAGCATTTCCATCTTAGAAACACATTCTGAAGGGATTAGGTGAGTAACGACATCACGTCTGAGATCAAATTTAAACTCCTAAGTGGATGGGGGTAGATGAGTGAAGAATGACCATAAAATGATAGCCTTCTCCGTTTGGGGAATTTATTTGGAAATGCCATTATAATGGGTAGAATATGTCACGTTATGAGTAATATCATATGGTGAGGAGGATAAACTCAAAAGGACAGAAGGAAGCTTTTAATACCGTGAGCATGAAAAGGACAAAACATACGTTCAAGATATGAGAAGTTGAGGACAGTTATGCCTGAATTAAATTGTTTAAAAGATATTTAAAACGTAAAACTTTCTTGTCTTCTTAAGTAGCCATTATTAATGTGTGTGTTATTCCATTTTATTTGATGTAGTAGACAAATCCTACAAAGATTGAGATAGCCCTTTGTAGCTTTAAAGTAGAAACAATTAGTATTACCACACAAAGGGGGAACGCAAAAAAGCCTTACAAAACACAAGGCCCACTTCCTCCTTTGCAGATAATTAAATTAGGGCCCAAGAAGCGGAAGCGACTTGCAGGATGGGAAGTAAAATCCAGGGCTACTAACTCTCGCTTCAATGTTTTGTTTCATGTTTACTTGTTCCTGTTTTTAATTTAAAAACTTTAGGGGCACCTGGGTGGCTCAGTCAGTTAACTGTCTGACTCTTGATTTCGGCTCCAGTCATGACCTCACTGTCGTGAGACTGAGCCTTGCGTCCGGCTCCGTGCTCGGGGTGGAGCCTGCTTAAGATTCTCTCCCTCTGTCCCTCTCCCCTGCTCACGTGCTCTTTCTCTCAAAATAAGTAAATGCAAACACATAACTGTATTTTTGCTGGTGCCTGGCTGGCTCAGGTGGAAGAGCACGTGACTAGATTTCAGGTTCCTGTATTTGAGCCTCACACGGAGTGTAGAGATTACTTAAAAACATGACTAACTTCAAAAGAAGCTTTAATTTATTTAGAGCGCTTCTAGGTTTATAGGAAAATTAGGAGGAGGGTAGGCATCTCCCGCATATCCCCTGCCCCCACACATGCAGTG